AAATTAATTAACGTCTTCAAATAAATTTGTGATTAACAGTCTGTCTAAAAAGACAATTTGTTTTCTACCTAATTACTATTTTACAGCTCTCCACATAGAGCAGATTTTCTACAGTAGTTAATCGGACAAACAAACAAATAAATATTCAAACATGTAAACAAACTTGAGTTTTAGTAGTATATATAGATAGATAGGTAGATAGGTAAACTCACATGCGTTTTTTGAGAAATCGGAAATAGCCTAAATTACTACTTCCTGTCAACGAAATTCAATCGAATCTGAAAGAAGGAAGATAATAAGATTTTTTACTTATATGTGACATTTCATTTATTTATCTGAAAAAGTACTAATGTTATAGGCTTTTGAAAAATTTAAAGTAGAAAAAGTTTAATTTCCGGTTATCGGAAATCGCTAAAAAGTTGACACGGATCTACAAATTTGATAGAAAAATTATACATGAAATTTCATTAACCTAGCTATAACGGTACTCAAGTTATCGTGTTTACAGACACACACACACACACACACACACAGCCACACATCCACGCACACATCCATACACACACACATACGAACAAGAATGCAAAACTATGTTTTTCCAACTCACGGAGCTGAAAATCGTCGAGATTAGCAAAAATCTCCATTTTTTAAATATTTTTTTTTACGATTACAAGATTTTCTTTATATGCCTACTTCGTATATACGAGAAAGTAAAAATGGAAATTATTCAAACATTCGTTACAATGGTGTAGTTTTAGATCTTTTTTTTTTTGGCTTATCTGTGTTGTGACTGGTTCATGTAATAACAGATGACCGTTGCATCATAAAAAAAAATACATACTAACGTATTCGAAAATTTTGAGGGTCCTGTTCAACAATATCAAGAAATTTACAAAGACCGGCGTTTAACCCCGATTGCTTTCAAAATATCAGCTCGGGGTATCAATGTGTGCGATCGGCTATTCGTAGATACCAAATTATAATTTATTTATTAGTTATTTATAAGTTATTTTTATTTCTTAGATCATAGATGATGGGGCGCATGTTTGTTCACACTACGTCCAAGGTGCCCCAGGGGGCGTTCTTAAGATCAATGCGCTATACTACAGCTGAAAAACTGGGTCCCAGCTCTGGGCGGTTTAGTTATATATTTAGTAGCTCATCGTATCTCTAGTCACTCTAGTGTATGGCGCTCTTTAAAACAAATGTGCTCGTAGTGGAGCTTGTCGTGCTTAGCATTACACGGCCGCCGGGGGCGGGGCGGAGGACACCTTTAGAGCAGTTTAGCTGTTGATTTTAATAGAATCCTGAACACCCCGTGCTAACACACAAGTGCTAAGATAGCCGCCGAGGAACGGGGTGTCAAACCACCAAGACCGCCATTTCGCCGCCCCATCAAGGCACTCGGATAAATGGTTTAGTAATGCCTAAAATACAAATTGATAGAAAGAGAGATACGCTTAAGTTTATTTATAGAGAACGTAAGAGGCAGATTGTAGTAGCAGCAGTTCTATAATCTCACTAAAACTAACTGCAAAATGTAATTTTAAAACTAAAGTAAACTACTTACGTGGATAGTGTGTACATATTAAGCAATAACTACCTATTTGTAAAATTACTAAACCGGGAGTGATCTCCCCTAATCTTTCTCAAATATCTATATATATTTAAAGCAAAGTTGTCGGATGCCCGATAGGGCACTTCCCGGCGCCGCAGGCGCTTCAAATTTGGCATGAGTCTGCCCTGGGGCAATAGAACCCGAGGGCCGGTGCCGGTTGGCCGAAAGTCCACGAAGCTATATATCGAAAAAAAATTCCCACATAGAAACCTCTTCATAACTCCTGAGGTCGTAGACCGACCCTCGGGGGTGGCAAAAAAAACTATGATATGTTCCGAAAAAAATCCGGAAGACCGTTAGAGCTAACCGGTCCGAATTTTCCCTATATAAACATTGTTAATTTTCTGAAAAACAATGACTCTTTTCAAAACAGTGTTTTGGAACGTTGGCTCTGTACATCTCGCTCATTTTTTCCATAAACCTGGGTAAATGAATCGGCCTTATGGATAAACTATCGGTCAGCCTGTGCTCGCGCGGCGAGGGCTAAAAAGTGACCATGAGTGAAATTCTCCTTATATGAGCTATATATTGAAAAATAAATTCTTACGTAGGAACCATTTGAACACTCTTGGGGTTGTACATCGGCCCCAGGATGGGAACTCGGGATATAGACATGATTTTTAATCCATTTTTACAAGCTTTTATTTAACTCACTTCCTCGTCAGTCGTCAGTCTGTCTGTCTAGATCGAAACGCCGGAGTGAAAATTCGGAAAGTTCTACTTGACCGATACGATTCACAGTTGGCACGTGGGTCAAGACATGAAGACAATGCAATCTGAAATTAAATTTGACTTAATTGGATGCCTAATTAATTTTTTATGAATTAATTAAAATTTGGACCGAATTAGTAGGCATGTCTAGCCAACCACACCACACGAGTCATCACGTTCAATAGCTGCGCCATCACGTTCAGTAGGCGCGCAATGGTTTTTAGTCATGTAACTCTATTGTAAATAAAACATGTAAAGTACTGAAAAAATTTTTTCATAAAAAACGTTTTAATAACAAGCTTTTATGTACTAATGCACTAAAAAGTAGAAAATAAATTATAGACTACTATTTAAATAACTATAAAGAAAAGCGTGCGTCTCTTCCTAAACATTAGTGAAGGTATCCAATAGATACTAAAGTGACCCACGCTTTTCTTTATATTTATTTAAATAGTAGTCTATAATTTATTTTCTACTTTTTAGTGCATTAGTACATAAAAGCATTTATCTATCTGAAATAGTACTCAAGTTATAGGCTTTTGAAAAATTCAAAGTAGAAAAAGTTCCACTCCCGGTTATCGGAAATCGCTCAAAAGTTGATACGGATCTACGATTTTGATAAAATACTTATATATGAAATTTCATCAACCTAGCTGTAACGATACTCAAGTTATCGTGTTTACAGATACACACACTCACACACACGTACATACAGACATACGGACAAGATTGTAAAAACATGTTTTTCCGACTCAGGGAGGTGTAAAACGTCGAGATTTGCAAAAATCTCGATTTTTTATTTGCACGATTACAAAACTTTTTTTATACCTCGTATATACGAGAATGTAAAAATGGCTAGCAGCCATACGTATTATTGGCTTTTACTTTATTATTGCGTAACAATAATGTCTCAAAGCAGGGGTCTCCAAACCGACGTCCTCTCACCCGGCCCGCGGAGCTCTTTTTGTCCACATAATAAAATGTTTGTTTGAAAATATGGCTTTGGGTGCAAATACAATTGCCCGCCGTGTCGCAGACATTGGTGAAAACATCGTGGCTCAAATCGGGAAACATGCATCAAGTTTCGCCATATTTCAATTGCAATGAATGAGTCGCTGGACAGCTGTTCTACCTCTCAAATGCTTTTGTTCATTAGGGGTGTGAATGTAGACATGAACATAGCACAAGAGATGGCTTCCCTACACAACATGTATGGCACTGTTACCGGTGAGGATATATTCCATGAGCTAAAAAGCATTTGCTGATTGTAACATGGACTGGACTAACATCAGTTGCCAGAGGAAAGTACACAAGAGTGGCATAAAGAAAGGCTTGGTTGGACAAGCGAATGAGAAAAACATTATTATTCACCAGCAAGCTTTGGACATTAACAGTTTACTGAATCCTGTGGTGAAGATAGTGAATTTCATACCGTTACAGAAAGTTCAGAGACATGTCAAAAAAAAAAACTCACGAAATCGCAAGATTTACCATATTACACAGCATTAAGATGGTTAATTTGTGTGAAAGCTCTAAGCAGAGAATTTAAGTTAAGAAAGGTAATATGTTACTTCATGGAAAGTAAAGACAAGCCACAGCCATTAAGGTCTGATGAAGAGTGGGTATACAAATTGGCCTCTAATGCAGACATAACTAGACATTTTAATTTACTGAACCTAAAACTCCAAGAGAGATCTAGTTTCTGATCTATACACCCACCTTAAGGCCTTCAGATCAAAACTTGTCATGTTTTTGGAACAAGTACAGGCCAACAACTTGACGCACATTTAGCAGGGCAAAATCTTCTTGGCTGAAGCAACCACTAAGTACTCCACGTCATTTGCTGGCGAGATCATTAAAGACCTGCAGCTGCAGTAGCTTCAGTAGCTGTTTCTGACTTGGATTCAAAGTCAGACAAAGTGAGACTGTTTTAAAACTCATTCGAAGCAAATGTGACCAGTTGCCCAAATGAACTGCAGCTAGTAGGGGTCATTGAATTGCAAGCAAATGACATCCTTAGAGACAAGTTCAAAGAAGGGCGGGTGGGTTTTTGTAAGTTTTGATCATGGAAGACTTTCCTAATATTAAAAGTTTGCATCAAAGTACCTTTCAAATTTTAGAACAACATACTTGTGTGAACAAACATTTTCTAAAATGAAATACGTAAAGAATAATTTGAGAGCAAACATGGACCTCGATTATGTTGAAATGTGTATATATTTCTATATAAATTTTATTTCGTTGGGGGGGGGGGGGGGGGGTAATAGACGTTTTTTTGTGGGGGGGGGGCGCTACGCCACCCCAAATAGATGCCTGAGAAACTGGCCCCTGAACTGATATTTTATAGTTAATGTGGCCCTCGGGCTGAAAAGTTTGCAGACCCCTGTCTTAAAGAATAAAATGTCAGTATGGTTATTATTTACGGATTAACAGCAAATGTCATAAATATATATAAATGTCAAAATATACTAAATTACTTGTATTGTCAATTTAACTATAGGTGCTTAAAACTTTACGCCACAGGTAACTATATTTTAGAACCATCGCGGAATCAGTCCACGTGTGGCCGGAACACGATTTTCAACTTTTCCGTATGTAAAAAAATGTGTGAGAATCAACACACCTGAGTTTTTGGTTCACCTGGGATTTACTATCAAGCGGAGATGGGGACGAGAGTTTCTATATAAGACGACGCCTGGTGTTCCATGTATCAGTCAAGTGTTGACCAAAGCTTCAATATGAAATCACTCGCAATCCTCGCTGTCGCTTTCTTCGGATGGTAACCATGTTTTGTCATTTCTTTCAAAAATATAGATTTGTAGGCCTATATGTTGAATTAGCTTTAGTTTTCGTTTAAAACAATAGCTTTAGCGCTTAGATTGGTGGTAGAGATAAAAAATAATGCTGATTCTTAGATTAGTTAAAGGTAGCTTAGGTAGGATTATAAAATATAAGATTTCCGGTTACAACTTTGTAATATGTTTAGGGCTTTATCTTTGAGATAATTTTTTTGCTTTAATTTTTTTTTTAACTTTTCAGATATATTTTTTTTATTTGTATTTAATTCATTGGCTTTTCTGATTACTTTAATGTAGATTTTTTTTATTGATGGCGTTTTTAATAGATAAAGGGGGAAATGTTTGGCTAATTACAGACATAAACAGTGAAATAAATTGATGACTATTTGCTGTCATCACTGCAACTGCAAAATATTTTATGAATAGGACATATTATACATCTTCATCATTTCAGCACCTTTACAATCCAACATTAAAATAATAACTTTACTTCCTAGCGTTATATCCCAGGGAGGGGGAGGCGCAAACTTCGACCAGATCTTCAACAGATACGCCGGAAGTGACAACCAGTTCTCTCAAGCCGAGTTCAGCAGGTTTTGGCTTCACTTTGACGATGATGGTGAGTACCCAGGAAGTTTTTTACATCAGTACACCTGACTTACTTGACTTACTTTGACGACAATTGTGAGTACACAGCCGGTTTCATACATCAGTACACCTGACTTACTTGACTTACTTTGACGACAATTGTGAGTACACAGCCGGTTTCATACATCAGTACACCTGACTTACTTGACTTACTTTGACGACAATTGTGAGTACCCATACGGTTACTTACATCAGTACACCTGACTTACTTGACTTACTTTGACGACAATTGTGAGTACCCATACGGTTACTTACATCAGTACACCTGACTTACTTGACTTACTTTGACGACAATTGTGAGTACACAGCCGGTTTCATACATCAGTACACCTGACTTACTTGACTTACTTTGACGACAATTGTGAGTACCCATACGGTTACTTACATCAGTACACCTGACTTACTTGACTTACTTTGACGACAATTGTGAGTACCCATACGGTTACTTACATCAGTACACCTGACTTACTTGACTTACTTTGACGACAATTGTGAGTACCCAGCCGGTTACTAACATCAGTACACCTGACTTACTTGAATTACTTTGACGACAATTGTGAGTACCCATACGGTTATTACATAAGTACACCTGACTTACTTGACTTACTTTGACGACAATTGTGAGTACCCATACGGTTACTTACATCAGTACATCTGACTTACTTGACTTACTTTGACGACGATAGTGAGTTCTTAGAAATTGTACTGTGGTTAATTATGTCAGTTATCCTATTTTAGAAGATCAATTGTGCATGTTGAGCAAAGTTCAATTAAATGTTTTTATACCTCAGCTGACGGTGATGTGACCAAACAAGAATTTGACCAGGGCTGGAGACAAGAAGGCTTCCCCAACCCACAGAACGCCCCACTTTTCTTCCTCGAGTTGGACAGAGTCGCCGATGAGGTTCTCAACGCCCAAGACTTCCCACACATCTTCCATCTCTTCGATGAGGATGGTAAGAAATATCTCTCCGTTTATTTAACACTGAAATTCTTTCGACTTTCCTCTAGTCAAATTTGTATAACTGTTGTGGTGTGTATAGCTTGAATACCTACTGGATAAAAAGGTACTCAAAGACTAAAATAAAAACATTTAACAAATGCTTACATTTCCTAGGAAAATAATGTGTGATAAAAATTCATTTTTTCAGGCAACGGATCCATTTCTGAGAGAGAATTCAGATTTAACTGGAATGCCTATTTCGACTAAACCGGATTGATTTTTCTAATATGGATAATTGCAATGATCTTATAAATTTAAAAAATGTTATATAAAATATAATTTTCTGTAATAAAATTATTTTTAACTACTGGGAATTGTGTAGTTTGTACATGTTTCTCTAAATAATAATTTGTTTCTACTGATATTGTGAAATTTTAATTCTAATTGAGAGTAGGCTAAAACTTTTGATCATGAAATGAGCTTTTTAAACTCGTATAGCTAGATTCAAACCAGTTGGTAATAGTGATGATTTAACCACTTCAAAATACTGATGTATATATATATATATATATATATATATATATATATATATATATATATATATATATATATATATATATATATATATATATATAATATCTCTAAATAATAATTTGTTTCTACTGATATTGTGAAATTTTAATTCTAATTGAGAGTAGGCTAAAACTTTTGATCATGAAATGAGCTTTTTAAACTCGTATAGCTAGATTCAAACCAGTTGGTAATAGTGATGATTTAACCACTTCAAAATACTGATATATATATATATATATATATATATATATATATATATATATATATATATATATATATATATATATATATATATATATATATATATATATATGTATATATATATATATATATATATATATAGTGCATCTGTTTTAACATACATCTGTTGCAAATACTTTAATATACAGACTGTGAAACCATTACAGTACACATTTAGTGCCACTCCATTATTAAGCACTAGCGTACCCGATATAATTAAGTCCGAGGAGAGCTCGGGGCTAATCGTTCATAACCGGCGCGTCAGCGGGCGCGCCTGATTCAGTTTAGTGAAAAACTATAAAGCCCCATTGAATCCATTGTCTATCGCACTGTTTAAAACGAAAGTAGCCGCTTATAGCGCTCACGAGATAGCTCGGGGCGTCAAATCGCTCCCTACTGGGGCGCCTGAGAACGTGCCTGATTCGATCAACTCAATGATTATTGTTCCCCATTGTGTCTTTAGTGTATAGCCTTTTTTTTAAACGAACGTATTCCCCATAGTGCTCGCTGTGGAGCCCGGGGAGCTACGGGTTGCGCAATCGACGGGACGCCGGCGGGTGCGCCTGTTGCAGTTTTACCGCTGAATATCGTAGTAACCCATTACCTGCTATGCAGGACGCCTAATCAACAGATGACAAGTGCTAACATAGCCGCTCTGGAACTATGGTAGCCAAACCATGTATTGACGAAAATCGCACCCTCTCGAGATAATTAATAAATGAATATGTATAAGTTTTCCAATGTGTAGCCTCCTCATAAAGTGATTGCCTCTTTCTGTTGTTGTTTTTCACGACAAAAAGAAAGAAAAATCTTCCTATGAGAAGTTTATTTTATGTCTTAAAAGCGCGTGCTATTAGTATCCAAGATTTGTTACTAATACGATCTCCAACGATCAATGATTTTAGCAGTAAAAAATATACGCCGAATACTTGAATTTTTTGTTTAAGTTTTTCTTACTATAAAAAATGATTATTTATTTATTGTTTTGTTTTTAAATATGGTTTAGCTTTCTAATAACCATTTTGTCTGATTATTTGGAATAGAGTTAGTAAACTCCACCCGATTGCGTCATTAAAATTTGCATCCCAAATAATCTCGACCCCAAAAGCATTTGGTTGGTTTCATAGAGACAGAACAACAACAAAAGATGGATGGTATTCAGTGGCTTTGTTATTTGTTGTGATAAGGCTGTTGTAGTACAAGAAAGATATTTACGTACAAGGCAGTAAGTGTAGTGACATAAGTTCGTTACTTTCATTTTCTTAACCTTATTTGACAAATCGTGACAAATATACTATGTCTAATTTGGGCAAACGTGCAAACGTCGTGATTTTCTCATTTATCAAACTCAAATATAGATCTAGAATAGATCTATAATCTAGATCTAGATCCTAGATCTAATGACTACACAGGTGACAGTAGACAAATCTAGATTCTAGATCTAAATTATAGATCTATGTAGATCTTGATTTCCTTTTTTGGATATAGACTCTAATCCATATCTGGATCTATAACGAAGAAAGCTAACTACTTCCTAAATTAATTAAACTATATTTAAGCTAAGTAACACCCCATGGAAGCTTGTAGTACTACAGTATATCAGATATGCTACATTTGTAGCACTTTTACATAGAACTACTTCAGACAACCGACTCTTTGAACATTGAGACTCTCTGTTGTCTGGCTGGTATTAAAATTGTATTTGATGGGCGTGTCGCCAGAACCTTAACTTAGCCTAGCGGTAATAACCAAAGCAGTAGATGAAAAACAACGTTCTTACCAAAACTTGGGCATTACAACACCTTTTTTTAAACGCACTTAACGACCGTACTATATTTAGTGCAGTTGTATTTTCCTACTGTTTCGCTATCTAGGTTGGGACTAAGGATAGGGTTTGGTCTAGTTTTTAAGAATGCCAAAATAAGAAATAGAATGTTAGCCTGCTTTTAATAAACAACATGCATATTATGTTCATTTAGCGCGATTTTTATAGCTCTACAATATTGCTTTGAAACTATAAAGTCTGAGTTGGATTAGAACTCAAGTTATTTTTCTTTAAATCTGGGGCTGCAAATACACGAGGTATATCGTTATTCTGCGTTCAAAAGAATAATGAATTAGTAGCTTTAACTAAGTGTTAAATAATCCTGTACGCAATATTGTTTCTTAAATTAGACCATAGTCTAGCTTCACAATGATGTTGTCATAGCATCACTTTGAGCTTAATTTCGTTCATCAAACTTTTTTTTTAAGTACTTAATTAAACTTGTGAAAAACAATGCTTCGCTCATCTACTGGACAGAAGTGTAATACATTTCCTCTCGTGTTTTCTTGTAATGCGCTATAATAATAGAGAATGTCTTTCACATTCAGATTAACTTATTGATTATTAATGATTGATTATTTTTTTTTATAAATTGATTCCTATTTATAGCTTGCTTGTTATTTATAGACTGGTTGTGTATCCTTAGAGGCTTTCTGTTGCGGTCTAAGCTGAGGGAGCTTTAATGTCTGTTCCATGATGTAGATTGTGACACTGCTTCTAGCCAAGTTACCATGACAACGCCGGTGGGAATCAACAAGAAGCACACCGAGTGGAGGAAATACAGCAAAACTTTGATAGAGGAACTCAAGGAGAAGCTGGAGGACAGGAGAACGAGGACCCTAGCCCTGCTCTCAGAGAACAAGGACCTGACGGCCTTCAGAGAGATCGATACCGAGAGCGACGGGCTGGACGATACCAGCACCAATCTGACCATCAAACACGAGCTGCCTGGAGATGGAGCAGGAGCTGAGGGCTGTCTGGCACTGTCGTCCTACTCTGAGACAAGTTCCTTGACCGACTCGGAATGCTATGACCGGATGGACGATTGTTTTTACTCTGAGGACGTCGTCAAGTGTGAAGGGGAGTGCACCCACTCGTCCTACTCGACATCCTCGGCCTCGAGTGAATCTGTGATAGAGGAGGAGATCTGCAGCTCCACGAGCACCACCTGCGCTCAGCTGGCGTCTAAGACGCGGGTCAATCTAGACAGGCATGACGTCATTTTTGCTGCAGGCAAGCTGCCAGCAGACGGCGAGAGTGAGAACTGGCCAGCCAATGAAAAACGTTTTCTGTCTGCCAAGGGATCCTTGTCTCACTGTAATATCAAGACGTCCGTCATTTCTTTAGCTGATGAAGCTTTAAACGTCCGCCTGACCCGCAGCTTCACCGATCTGCATGCAGTTAGTTGTACAGACGCTCCACAGGAGAATCTCAAATTAAACTCTGACGACATTACTGCCCAAAATGATGCCTCTGGCTCAACGTCGTTAACGAAAAATATAAATGAAAATACTGACCAGCCTGACGTCATAAAAACTGACCTTTATAAACCTGATTCACCAACTAAAGTTGTGGATGATGAAGGTATCATGGCATGTAAAATAAAAGAAGAACTAGCACAAATCATTCATGAAGTAGTAGGGACTAGCCCTTCTACAGCTGAACTTATACAATCACTAGACGGGGTAGATTTAGTAAACACTAATATCCCAACTGACGAGCCGCCTACAGAAACAACCACAAAAATAAAAACTGAGAGAGACAAATTCCCAGACTTTTATTCCGATGTTGACAAGGACAGCTGTGTTGGTTCGAGTGAAGAAAAGACTCACACCCCGAAAAAAAGAGATTTTCCCGTACCACAAAAAGAAAATTTCGATTGTAAAAACTGTTTCGAAGACATCTACAAAATTTTGAAAGGCAATGCTGATATATTTAACGATATCAACAAAGACATTATCGCTTGTCTTGAGCACCAGTTGAGAGATCCTTACTCAGCCCTGAGAAATGTATCAGGAAACAGCGGGTACATGACTGTCAAGCCAAGCGAACTCGCGGGAAACTTCCCCCCTACACAAGGCGAATCTACAGAGCGAAGTAAACATCTGAGCCTCTGCTTAGAGAAAGCAAGACTGGCTAACTCGCTGCAGCTTAAAATCGGACATACGAGAAATCGTGCAGAAAATATCGCCACAACAAGAGCGTACGAGAAAGCTGTCGACGATTTGGAAGAGTGCATGCAAGAATTTTTCAAATCTTATCCTATTGAGAGTGAAGAGCTATCCGCGCTTCAGTTGACGTCTGCAGAAGCCACCAAAAGATTGACGCTTCCCCCTACATCGCCAACCAGAGATGGAATGGCGGCATCTCTACGTAGGTCAAGTACGTTTGTAATAGAAAAATCAGGCAGCCTAAGTCCTATGAAATCTGAAACGAAATATCCGTCAAGCGGAAGTACAAGCAAGGAAAAGAAAACAACGCCTTCCGTGGACTCGGATAATAGTTTGATAAACCGCGATCTGCCGCCTAAATGCTCGCCAACTTACATTTTGAATACAGAAACAGAAGACGCAGCCAATTCAGCGCAAAAACCTGAAAAGAAAACATGGTGTAAGGTTAAAAGGTCAAGCTCTTTTAAATCAGGGTATGTTTGGAGTTCTGGGAAAATGCACGCCAAAAAAACAAAGCAAAACTCAAACTTTCTACAGCTGGGGTCGGCGCCTGCCTCAGACAGCGATTCTACCGACAGCTGCTCGGATATGCTGGAGGACAGCGCGTGCAAGTACACGTCATCCATGCTGACGCAGCTGCTGGACTATGACTCACAAGATGACGACCATTTGCCTGATGACGTGTTAGCTCTCGCGGTTGAGGAAACCAACAAAGCAGCACCGGAAACATTGAAATCTCCACAAACTCCTGATACTGTACCTGATTTGTTTACGAAATTAACATCTGAAAAAGATCTCAATGTAATGGCTTCTAGCATGACGCTGAAAGCCGCTGAGGTTGATGACGAGACTCATGGGAACTACGAATCAGATTTTAACACGGACAGCAATGGTGAAGATGAAGAAATAGAAGAAATAGAAGAAATGTTAAAGGAAGAGGTCGATGAAAATTTAATTGGTATTGAGATGAATATTCTTGATGAAAAGCATATAATTGACGAGAAAAAAACTAAGGATCACAAAGATAATGTAAAATTAGATGAAAGCATTGTCTTGAATGATGATTTAAAGAAACCCGTAGATAACAGTGGAATTAACGCAACTGGAACTTTAAATTTGAGTGTAGATGACACAGCTGTTATAGAAAACAGACAAGCGGGTCTGGATAAAGTTGATGACAAACTGACTTCAACCCCGTCTAAAGATACAAGCGAAGATGAAGCTATAGAATGTTCCAGCAAAACTTTGGTCGCCCGTGGAAAGATGACACCACACATAAGCAGGCCCAGTCACAGGAAGTGGTTTGCTGTCAACAACGTCGGGCTCAACGACTCCGAAGATAACGACGCGCCTTTTTTACCTAAAGTCGAGTGGTCGAGCAGCGACGAGGACATTTTGGACGACCTCAGACGGGACAAAAGTCCGTCGGATATCCTTAAAGAAAAGCAGAAGGTCGTTGTTGATGAGAAGCTTAAGATGTTGACCCAGTGCGCCCAGAGGAGACGGAAGTCCAGGTCTCCCATGCGGCTCATGGCATCCACGTCCAAGACTTTGGATCAAATATCCATACACAGCAACAGCAGCAAAGACTCTGGAATTGGAAGCCTTATGTTCCCCACGTCCAGTAGAAAGGCGATTGAGCCATGGAAAGGGTCACAGGTTAAGAGCGAATGTGAGTACCTTGGACTCCCTACGTCTATTTATAGCTCTACATGTGCTATGGGGGACCCCAAATACTTCGGTGACTACGACAACACAGAGATACTCTTCCCATCAGTTTCTGAACTTCTTTTAACAAGAATATCTCAGGAAACTCCGATAAAAACAAGCACCAATTCAACCATGAATTACGAAAATACTGAAAACGACGAAGCTAGTTTAATCACAGAAGATTTTGACTGTGCAATGACGAATGAACCTACAACCTTACCAATCAAGCTGAGTGATATATCTCCTACTCGAATTGTTCAACCAAGCACCACGCGTAAAGTGGCATCAATCTTCACCGCGGAGTCCCCGGTAAAGGCGGTGGAGACTCCAGCACTGAGAGCTCACCAGACCAGCCGGGAGCCGTCGTCTCTTGCCGTGTCTCTGGAACACGTCTCGTCTCTCAGTTCCACCAGCGGGGAGTACACATTCCCTCCCCTCAGCACCAGCTGCCTGCAGGGTGAATCTGTCCCCAGAGAGTCGACTCAAGAACCAACCGGGTGTATCTTTGGGGGTGAAACGTGTAATGAGTGGGTGCATCGGCCGGCAGAAAGTCTGGAAACTGTCATAACTGAATTCAATGACGACAAGACTCAAGAAATCGGTGAAGATATATTCTATAATGATATTACACAAGATGGAAACCAGACTATCGGTCAAATAAATCACTCAGGAAATTTCTGCCTGCACGATAGTATTGTTATTGAAGAGAGCGCGACGCTGAGGAAGGATGAAAAAAAATATGCTCCTCGCAATATTTCCTCTATAGAGAATATAGTGCGTCTAGCGCCGTGCGAGAACTCGACTCTGAACAGCTGCCCTATTCCACAGATGTTCATGAATGTATTACAGAACAAACCATTCGTTTTTTCAACCACTAATCACGATAACTCCTTTCAAAATGATGAGAATAAGAAGTCAGCTTCTGATAATAACTTTGTATTGAGTGGTGACAAACCTTGTGAAACTATCACAACAGAATATAAAATCGAGCAAAATCTAAACTCCCTAGATAAAACTCCAGAAACTATTCAAGCAAGCAGCTACCAGAATGATGACAAATTTGATGATGAATGTAAACTCGAACGAGATGGAAGACAAAGTACAGAAAGACGACAAAATGAGAACCTACTTTCGACACAACATGAGGTTCTAAACCGTGGTTTAATTCCTGTTATTTCTGACCGTTTACCACGCGAGGAAGACTGGACATATGTCGGGGATTCGAAAGATTTCCTATCATACGTTCAAGCCAACAAGGAAACAGGCCGCTGCAAGCCGCTGACCTACAAGGCCGTGAACCCGAACTTTCAGGATTCCCGCAGTCTCAGACCGTCTCTCGCCCGCCCCTGGTGCTCCTTGTCGAAACAACGCAGCTCTGCTCAACAGATCCACCGAGATTGGAGTGACATGTCCTTTGATTCCAGAGACTGCTATGACATCCACCCGTCGGCGGAGAACTACTGCTTGTATAATTCCAAAGACCCGTGCCAGGAGACACACCCCCGGAACTTTGTGTACCCAAAGCAAGAATCACACCTTAAAAGAGATGACTATCAAACAATACTGGCTCTGTTTGACAAGGTTTCTAGCATAGAACACCATTTGGCTCAGCAGAATGTAAACATGGAATGCGTCCAAGAGCATCCGTGTAAAAGATCTCCATACTCAGGTACTGAGCTTGGGACTTGCAGTTCGAGAGAAGCTCCATGCAGATCGGGTCGTGCTAGGGGTTATTGTTGTACCGACCCACGACCCGTGTGCTCGTGTTACTGCAGCTGTTCGTGTGTATCAAAACAACCCATCGACACGGCTGCTGGCTCCACGGGCAACACGATAGCCAAGCTACACACGACCGTACATACACAGTCTTCACAGACAGAGGACAATAAAGGCGATGGGTTGCCAGATCAAGCTGGGGCTAGTTTGCCAAGTGATGCAAGACAAGTAGACGAAGCTTTCGTTGAACACTTCCAAACTCTCTCTTCCAAACTCGACACGTCTTACGAGCTATGTAAATCCCTACAGAGTAACGTAAGCATATTCATTTTCTCTTCATCTAAAGATAGGTTTTTACCTTTGTTTTGAAGTGATTATGTTTTCTTACTTCTCCCAACTTTCATTAAATTCTGTATCACCTTCAATGTCTACTCCATAGCTGGACAACATCGACCATGGCCAGGTGGAAACCTTGCGACTGGCAGAAAGTAATGCCAAAATATTCGCTGAAAAACATTGTGAACAGCTGAAAAAATCGATGGTGGGACATTTTTTATTTTATTTTTCTCATTCATGTTCGTTTTGTGTTGTTGTTTTATTAATCCATGCAAGACTTAAGGTGAGTGTCTAAATATTTCTGTAGTAGATAAATGCTATAGTATAAACATTAAATTTCAAAATTAAAGTCTCTGTATAACAAATGACAGTTTATTATCGGCTAAGTTTGTTGTTCCTTGACCAGGATTGTATTGTTGTTGTCCCTTGACTAGGATTGTATTGTTGTTGTTCCTTGACTAGGATTGTATTGTTGTTGTTCCTTGACTAGGATTGTATTGTTGTTGTTCCTTGACCAGGATTGTATTGTTGTTGTCCCTTGACCAGGATTGTATTGTTGTTGTCCCTTGACTAGGATTGTATTGGTGTTGTTCCTTGACTAGGATTGTATTGGTGTTGTTCCTTGACTAGGATTGTATTGTTGTTGTTCCTTGACTAGGATTGTATTGTTGTTGTTCCTTGACCAGGATTGTATTGTTGTTGTCCCTTGACCAGGATTGTATTGTTGTTGTCCCTTGACTAGGATTGTATTGGTGTTGTTCCTTGACTAGGATTGTATTGGTGTTGTTCCTTGACTAGGATTGTATTGGTGTTGTTCCTTGACTAGGATTGTATTGTTGTTGTTCCTTGACTAGGATTGTATTGTTGTTGTTCCTTGACCAGCATTGTATTGTTGTTGTTCCTTGACTAGGATTGTATTGTTGTTGTTCCTTGACCAGCATTGTATTGTTGTTGTTCCTTGACCAGGATTGTATTGTTGTTGTTCCTTGACTAGAATTGTATTGTTGTTGTTCCTTGACCAGGATTGTATTGTTGTTGTTCCTTGACTAGGATTGTATTGTTGTTCCTTGACTAGGATTGTATTGTTGTTCCTTGACTAGGATTGTATTGTTGTTGTTCCTTGACCAGGATTGTATTGTTGTTGTTCCTTGACCAGGATTGTATTGTTGTTCCTTGACTAGGATTGTATTGTTGTTCCTTGACTAGGATTGTATTGTTGTTGTTCCTTGACCAGGATTGTATTGTTGTTGTCCCTTGACTAGGATTGTATTGTTGTTGTCCCTTGACTAGGATTGTATTGTTGTTGTCCCTTTACCAGGATTGTATTGTTGTTCCTTGACTAGGATTGTATTGTTGTTGTTCCTTGACCAGGATTGTATTGTTGTTCCTTGACCAGGATTGTATTGTTGTTGTTCCTTGACTAGGATTGTATTGTTGTTGTTCCTTGACCAGGATTGTATTGTTGTTGTTCCTTGACCAGGATTGTATTGTTGTTCCTTGACCAGGATTGTATTGTTGTTGTTCCTTGACTAGGATTGTATTGTTGTTGTTCCTTGACTAGGATTGTATTGTTGTTCCTTGACCAGGATTCTATTGTTGTTGTTCCTTGACTAGGATTGTATTATTGTTGTTCTTGACCAGGATTGTATTGTTGTTGTTCCTTGACTAGGATTGTATTGTTGTTGTTCCTTGACCAGGATTGTATTGTTGTTGTTCCTTGACCAGGATTGTATTGTTGTTGTTCCTTGACTAGGATTGTATTGTTGTTGTTCCTTGACTAGGATTGTATTGTTGTTGTTCCTTGACCAGGATTGTATTGTTGTTGTTCCTTGACTAGGATTGTATTGAGACGAGATTGGAGCAGCTAGACCACACCCACAGCCAAGCCAGTGCTAAGAGAGACGACTCGCTGAGAAACTTGATCAAAGAAACGTTGGACTCTGTGGCACAACACCTGGCCTCACAATTCCTGGAGACGGTGGAACAAATAGAACAGGTACTTTAGAGGTTGTCTCTTTTTTAGTCTAAACATTTGTCATTAGTCGTTTACTTTCATTCAATTTAGCTTTATCCGACAATAGAGACATGGTTGGAGATGGGCTTCTCATTCACAGATTTGTTTAGATTCGGTATGTCCCAGCTTTAGATTTCAAAACTGAATAGACATAAAATGCCTATAAATTTATTACAAAAATATTCTTTACAAAGGGGACAAAAGTTATTGTACAGTTTAACTATTTTAAATGTAATTGTTACTTCCCTTAACTTCTATCGTGGTTAAAATTTCTATCTGCGCTAATACTAATACCTCATAATGTATTTTTCCACATTTTTCAACTGACTAAAGAGAGTGACAACTGCCTTGAACAATCACAGTCAAAGCCTGACTAACAAATATACAGAACTTACTCATATTATCTCTGAACTCAAAATCTCCAAGTAAGTGAATAACACTTTATCAACGTTTTTGTTTATTGCGGTGTTGACGCGTATTTCCAACTTGGTGTTATTCAATCATAAAGTAGGTACCATGCCATCTGGTAATAATGGGTTTTATTTTTCAAGTATCTGTTGAACGATGTATCTCTTAACTCATAACTGTCATGCGTACAGAAATATTGAAAAAAATTACTTTGTTTTTAATTTTCAATAACAAAAATATCCCACTTATTAGATCAAAGATATTTCGATTATTTTGTTTTACTTTCTACGACTTATTGAAAAAAATGACAGACAAAAATAACTTGAAGTACATCAGCATGAACGAATGTTTATTTTGACTGCGCAGACACGCTGAGTTAGATGACAACAAACCACAAGTCGTTCACAAAGGCATGGATTACGAGACCCTAAAAATGAGGATCGTGGATCTGACGTCACAACGCGATGCTGAGAAGGTGTTTCACAGAATAACTCGAGAATCCCTGAGAGCCCTAGAGAGGGACCATGACCGACTACGTCAGGAGTTTATCCGGGCCACCTACAGGAGAGATAACAACTCCACCAGTGACAGGTGAGTAGCTTGTACAAGACTTGTGTTAACAAATGTGTGATGATTAGGTTTTCTAGAGGTGTTAGACAAAGTTGATTAGCAGATCTTTCTCTTAATTCTGTCTCGACTATAAAGCTGTTGAAATTTAAACCCATCTATTTTTAGGTAATGGGGTCCACAACTTATTTTTCCTCCTGTAATGTGGCCCACATCACAGTAATCATCTAGTAATGTGGTCCACATCACAGTTGTCATCTAGTAATGTGGCCCACATCTCATTTGCCATCTGGTAATGTGGTCCACATCTCAGTAGTCATCTAGTAATGTGGCCCACATCACAGTTGTCATCTAGTAATGTGGTCCACATCTCACTTGTCATATGGTAATGTGGTCCACATCTCATTTGTTATCTGGTAATGTGGCCCACATCTCATTTGTTATCTGGTAATGTGGTCCACATCACAGTTGTCATCTAGTAATGTGGTCCACATCTCACTTGTCATCTGGTAATGTGGTCCACATCTCAGTAGTCATCTAGTAATGTGGTCCACATCTCAGTAGTCATCTAGTAATGTTGTCCACATCTCAGTAGTCATCTGGTAATGTGGTCCACATCTTAGTTGTCATCTGGTAATGTGGTCCACACCTCAGTTGTCATCTGGTAATGTGGTCCACATCTCACTTGTCATTTGGTAAAGTGGTCCACATTTTGAAATCGTTAAATAAATCCCACATTCCATTTGCTTTTTTTTTTCCACAGAGGATTTCGGCAACGGTTGATTGAATTACTGAATGACAACACAGAATCATTTAGTGGCGGCATCAGGCGAGATAAGCAAAAGAAAAAACGTCAAGACGATTTCGCCAGACATGAAGAGTACATGCCCCTTTCTTTGCAGTTAGACAAGACAGTAGCCGCCGCTAAGGAAGGCGTTATCTCCGAAAGACAAGAGAGTTCCAGTAAGGGGAGTAAACTCTCAGACAAACAAAAGATTTCTACCAGGTCAAGACATACCCCATCATCACTACTTACAAGGGATCACACGTCAAGAGCTGAAGAAATAACGTTACCTCCAGAACTCGCCCGGAAAGTGGAGTCCTTAAAAGCATCACTCCGCAAGCGGAAATCAAATCCTGTTGGCAGCGATCCATCTTTGGACAAAACAGTACTTCCTGTGCCGACAGCTAAGGATGGCGTGTTGGCAAATTTGGGTAAAAGAGGCGCAGGCAACAAACAATCTAAAACCCTGAACCCCACGGAAAACCCTAGCTGCGATTACACAACGATATACGGCACTTGGTTGGGTGACATCTGTGAAGAACCTGACGAGCAAGAAGAAGCGCATGTAAATAGGATCGTTTCAGAACCAGTTACAACCGAATCCAAATCAAGTGTGGCGCTATCCGATGATAATTTTTAATAGCCGTCAGAACAAAATAAAAATAAAATTTTGTCTTAGCCTGGATTTTAAGATATTACAGTTATATTTCATTAATTATATCTGTTTTAATAATCTGTAAATAGGTTATATTTTACTTTATTAAATTTGATGTGTTTGTATAAAGTATTCAGTTTTCATTTGTGCTCAAAAGTTTGGAATCGTCTCTTGTGTTCATTCAATTGTAAAATTTGATGACCCTCATATGTAGAATATTGAAATCCAAGGCATGTCTAAAGCATCGCTATTCGCAATGTTCAGTGTGAACATGGGCAGGGTTCAGTGTGAACATGTCTCTAGTTAAAGGGTTCAGTGTGGACATGTCTCTAGTTAAAGGGTTCAGTGTGAATATATCTCTAGTTAAAGGGTTCAGTGTGGACATGTTTCTAGTTAAAGGGTTCAATGTGAATATATATTTAGTTAAAGGGTTCAGTGTGAACATGTCTCTAGTTAAAGGGTTCAGTGTGAATATATCTCTAGTTAAAGGGTTCAGTGTGAATATGTCTCTAGTTAAAGGGTTCAGTGTGAATATATCTCTAGTTAAAGGGTTCAGTGTGGATATATCTCTAGTTAAAGGGTTCAGTGTGGACATGTTTCTAGTTAAAGGGTTCAGTGTGAATATGTCTCTAGTTAAAGGGTTCAGTGTGAATATATCTCTAGTTAAAGGGTTCAGTGTGGACATGTTTCTAGTTAAAGGGTTCAGTGGACATGTCTCTAGTTAAAGGGTTTAGTGTGAATATATCTCTGGTTAAAGGGTTCAGTGTGAACATGTTTCTAGTTAAAGGGTTCAGTGGACATGTCTCTAGTTAAAGGGTTCAGTGTGTAATGTCTCTAGTTAAAGGGTTCAGTGTGTAATGTCTCTAGTTAAAAGGTTCAGTGTGGACATGTTTCTAGTTAAATGGTTCAGTGTGAACGTGTCACCAGATGCAGGGTTCAGCGTTAACATAATCAGGGTTCAGTAGTGTAAACATGTGCAGGGTTCAGTGTGAACATGTGAAGGGTTCAGTGTGAACATTATAATTGGTGATGCCATCAGACAATCCTTGTCTCATCCTATCACTAGTCACCTCAAAATCATCTGGATATTTTTACATTCGCCACATGTGTACTGTACGGGGTGGCACCTAGTCGAGCTGAATAATAACAAATGGTGCACTGATTCGTTAAAAAAAACTGATCAACGGTAGGCCTACATAACACATCATTTACAAAAAAAGTTTTTATTAAAAAAAAAACTAAAATAAGTATGACAACACAATCATTTATCACACATTATCAGCACAAGAAAGACTATGCAACAAAAATAAATTATCAAAGAAAAATAAATCGGTAACCTCTGTGCACGGCAAACAAGTTCTTTATTTAAGAGTAGCCTACCCTTGTGTTTTAGTAAGGTGAAGGTCTTCTGGCCGGTTAGTTTCAAGGTCGGTCAAATCGAAATTTTAGCTTAGTGAACTAAAACTTGTAATTTAGCATAACATTACAGTTTACAGTTTTAACAAGAAAAACCATGGCTGCCAAATACAAGATTTGTCTTGTTCGACATGGAGAGAGTGTATATAACGAAAAGAACTTATTCTGTGGGTGGCATGATGCTGATTTATCTCAAACAGGAATTACGGAAGCTGTCTACGCTGGACAGGTACGATCTGCATCATTAAAGTAAAAAATAAAGTTAAAGTAAAATAAATAGTTAATAAATAGGCATAGGCCTATAAACTATAAATATTAAATAAAATAGCCTATAATTCTAGCTTTTAGTTAAAGTTTTAGTTTTAGATATATCTAGCTAGATCTATAGAGAATCTAAGATCTGTGAGCGCTAGATCTAGAGAGTCATCTATCTAGATCTAGAATCTAGATCTAGATCTAGATCTAGACTCAGTCTAGGAGTCTAGACTAGACTCTTGATTAGAGATGTCTGTCAACTAGAATCTATAAGAAGTATAATAATAAGTAAGTAGTAGTAGTAATAAAGTAGAATTTATTGGTTTATTAGTGGGGGGCCAGACTACTACTACTACTACAGTTTCTAGATCTAGAATCTAGATATTAGTTGAGAATCTTGAAAGTAGATCTAGATCTAAATCTAGCTAGATCTAGGACTTATTATTAGTACTACTACTACTACTACTAAATCTAGATAAAGTATTAAGTAAATCATAAATCAATGCACCATTGTACACAACAGTGCATGCTGATATGAGCTAATGAACTATGTCGGCCTGCTATGTTTATTTAAACTTAAGTTTGTACCTATTTATTCAAATACTTGTTTTCTGAGTACAATTGTAGGCTTGCCCTTTTTGTTAAAATGTGTAACCCTACGATTCTCCACAAAACTTTAGGCCTAAACATTGTCTAATTAAAAAGGCCTAAGGCCAGGCCCGTACTTATTTAGCCAAATGCAGTTTTGTCTTCTAACTTAATTTACTTGTCCCTAATCCTATCTCACATCCCTTCTGACAATGTGGGACAATAACATTATTTATGATTATTACATTAATAAACACATACTCGAAATAAATAGGCCTACTTCTCATTTGTATAGGCCAATTGTATGTGAATTAGCTTTCTTGTTTGTTTTGATGTTTTTGTTAATTCAATTTCTACCCTCCATGTAGTTCTAATTGTTTTAAATATCTTTATCAGCTCCTTAAAAACCAAGGATATGAATTTGACATTGCATTTACTAGTGTCTTGAAGAGAGCTATAAAAACACTGTATCTTATCCAAGAAGAACTGGATTGCCACTGGCTACCTGTGGTTAGATCATGGCGTCTGAATGAGAGACATTATGGTGGACTTCAGGGACTTAATAAATCTGAAACAGCAGCCAAGTATGGAGAAGATCAAGTTCAGGTTGGTAAATGAATTATTAGAAAAATTGTTGTACTTTTTTTTCTTCTCTGTTTGCTCATTCAGCTACTCTATTGTATATTTACTAGTATTACTTTTAGAATTAGCGTCCAAACTACAACATAGCAACACCAGAAAAAAATTTATATATTGCCCTATCGGAAAATATAGAAATATTTTTAATCCTGCTAATACATTGAATCACTTAAATCTTTAGACTTTTTAAGAAATGTGCTTTCCTTAACTTTACTTTTAATAGATCTGGCGACGATCTTATGATATTCCACCACCTCCACTTGAAAAGACAGATGAGCGTTGGTCTGGGAGAGGCAAACAGTATGCAGTAGGTTATTTGTTTATGTAGTTTTTCAGTTGTTTTATCCATCCACTTTAATTTTTATCATTTTATTTTAGCATTACATGGTTTATAAGGAATATAAACTTTTCAGGATATGGATCAAGGTATGATTCCTCCATGTGAGTGTTTAAAAGACACTGTTGAGCGCACACTTCCATTTTGGTACGATTCTATCGTGCCAGCTATCAAGGTAATTACTAGTTAAGCAATTATTAAACTTTGATTATAACTATCTTCATCATAACCTTCTGCGTTACTGAGATTGTTTGCATTTGATTCAATTAATTTAGTTTAGACTCCTATCAGCATTAGGTTTTTTAAATTTTAGTCTTTAAAATGGATTTATGTTTTTATTTGTAAAACAAATTTTAAGTTAACACATATTTTAGATTTTTTTATCAGCTCTTTTAAAAAGATTAATCAGCATGTAGTCAATTCACTGATAATTAGAATTCTTAATGTTTAATCATTGTGCATAGTTGTCTAATATTGTTTTGCTGTAAAAGAAATTTTTTCTAACACTACAGTCAGGAAAAAGAGTAATTGTGGCTGCTCATGGCAACAGTTTGAGAGGTCTGATTAAATACTTGGACAACGTGTCAGACAATGACATCGTTGGGCTTAACCTACCAACAGGTAACCATTTCATTTTGACTTTTTATTTCAACAATTTCAAGTTCTCTTGTTCTGATTTTTTATGCTTGGTTTGTTTAATTCATTAACTTTCAAAATATTTTTGATGAGTCTTGCTAGTTTTCTTCTGTAGTTAATGTGGTAGATTGGGTCTTTTTGTAAAGTATTTGTCAAATTTTTAAGCAAATTAAATTATCAAAAATAAAAGTAGCTAAATCAGTAAATATTTTAATGGATGAAAAGTTATAATTTTTAAACCTGTATGACTATACTTTGCAACAAAATAAACATCTTAAATTTGAAGTTTGATTGGCCTGTTTTTTATTCTTAAAAATTGCCAGTTTGAAATTGAGTTTGTATGAGTTTGGTTGTTTGATTGTGTTACTCACCGTTCCAGCCATCCCCTTGGTTTACGAACTGGATGAAAACCTTCGACCTGTTAAACACTACTATTTGGCTTCAGAAGAAGAGGTCAAGGCTGCTCAGGCCAAAGTCGCTGCTCAAGGAAAAGCTAAATAATTTGTGTGAATGTTTTGTTGAGTACATTAGAATAACTACCATCATTATGTACCACAAAAATATTTGCATCACCTTTTTGTTTAGGCTGAATGTATTATTACAGTTGTAAACATGATATACCCAACTTGTATAGTAGAGCTTAAATAAAAATTCAAATTTTAACTGTATTTTAGTGTAATATATATATAAACATTAAGACATTCTTATTCTACATTTTGAGTAAATAATTTGCTTTGATACCAATTCTATTTCAAAAAGAAATTAATAACAATTTTTAGTGTGGTGTATTTTCTGCACATTTTCTTACTAGCTATTCCAATGTGTTATGAACTAAATGAAGATCTGAGACCTGTCAGTCATTACTACCTAGCATCAGATGAAGAGGTAGCTTCTGCACAAGCTAAGGTTTTAGCCCAAGGTAAAGCAGAAGAAAAAAAGTGCCCTTCTAGAGTTACCCTCCCTGAACCTAGGCAAGCTGGACAAGGGGATCAGAAGTGGCAGAAACAAAGCTTGTTGTCATGCTGTCCTTGCATTGATTTTAACAAGAAAAACAGTCCTCGCTTATAACGGTGCAATAGTATAATTAAAACAAGTGATAACAAACCATTAATTAGTATTTACCATCTGACAGTACTATGTGTATATTTATGCAGAATTACCCATTCAATATTGAACAAGTGTTATCAATATAGAAATATAATAAAACTAATGCTCTTCTGTGACTGTTTACTTTTTGTTCCCTTACTGATGGTGTTGAATTGTGATATAACTTTGCTAATTTTATTTGTCATTTTATAATGTAATTAAAGGATCTAATGGTTTACCTGTTCCATATTTATTTTTCTCCGCTCAGCCGTTTCCTTAAGTCCTGCGTGTAGAATAGATGGACAAATTACTTTTTAGCTTGTGTCATCAGAAGATGCACACTTTGAATGTTAAATATTTGAAGTTCAATAAATTTTAAGTGTCACTCATTTCTTCTGATAGTTTCACTTGTTTGTTTTATTACCCTCATCTCATTAGCTCAATGCTTTGCACATATATGTTTAGAAAATGAACTCAAGGAATAAGATATATTTCAGTCTTTCTTGACTAGCCTAAAAAATATTTCACCCACAAGTCATATAGTTTTGATATGCTGTCAAATCAGCTCTGATTTTCTGTTTTACTAGTTTAAGATGCTGAATCTGGCAGATTGAATTACTTAGTAATGCAGGCCTAAAGTGTGGTTAGATTAGTAAACATGTTAATGAACTTACATTGAATCTTGTATACTTATAGCATATGCAGTTAAATATGAATATTCTTTTTATCATGGGCTACTAGTGCATCTTTTAAAAAAATAGAAATAGTGTTTCAAGCATCTTTATTTTAGGATGTCTAATATTGAAAAC